TAACAAAGGAATGTACAATCCACTCCCTCACTTTCCTGGGTGGTATGGAAAGAAGGACCTTCCCTTATGTTACTCTTGGTCATTGCTGCTTGCTCTGTGATACTGGTACCTTACATGCAGCCTCCTCAGCTACATGTGTTTCGGTCTGTGTTTTGGTTGTGCTTCCAGGGAGACTCGTCGAATGTTGGAAAGAGTGGTTTATCAACCGGGGAATCCAGACACCATAGTGTCAGTGGCACGCTGGTACCTCCTGCGACATCTCTATGCCAAAGATGATTATGAATTAATAGATGTAAGACAGTTCATTTTATACAGAAATTCAGTCTGTTTACATTAAATATTGTGCTTGCCACTTGAAAGTGGGGTAGAGGGGAGCCAGGGAGTTGCTGGCTTGCCTGCTGTAGAGGTTGCAATGTGTAAGGATTCTATACTGACAAAACGTACCTGTTTTGAAGCATCTAGTTTGATTGAAAGTCTTCCATTCCTCTGTGCAATAGTAATGAAAAACAAGCAGTAAAATCTCTCTATAATCCAAACTGGCAAGAATTATACTAGTGACTCTCCAGTAGACATGAGGACCATTTTATCAGAATTTTACCAGAACTTATTAATGCACTTAAAATATTTAATTTCCTCTAGCCTTTCTGGAACAGTGTGGTGTCCTTGACCCAGAAGGTTTGAACACTAGAGTGCTGTACTTTCTGTACTTAAGCCTTCTATTATAACTGTAATGGTACATTATTTTCAGTACATAGTAAATGGCACATTAGTTTCTGACAGTACTTCACAAAGGGATTTGGTCAAACTCACAAATCCGCACAGCTCTTACAGGAGATGCAAAGGCAGGTGGTTCATTTTGTCTTGTAATTGGAATCACTTTGCTACTCAAACTCCTAATAACCTCACTGCTGCCACTGGCATGGTGAGCTCTTTTGCCCAGATTAACTGCTGTTCCCTGGGGAGGCTCTGAATCTGTAACAAAGTACATTTTGAGGTACAGCACATCACGTGGGCTCAGCGTTGACAAAAATCCATACACAGACATACAGGTTCATAAAAAAGCTAGAATTAATGAGTTTGGATGATCCTGGTGTGATCACTTGCCTTCTGCAAAGTCATTGTACTTTCTGCCAATGAGTACAATAATAATAATGGGTAAAGATTTGCTTGATGCTACCTAATGGTTTTCCTTTTTAATATGCATAATGTGAGTGGATTATAAGAGAATTGCCAGAAGCTTATGAACATCTGTGAACATTAGGCTGTCATGGGAGCTTTTTTAACTAGTAGAAAAGCTGCACATACAAGTTGTGGAAAATAAATCAGGGAAGGGTAAATTTAAATGGAGGAGGAAAAAGGATAGCGTGGCAGTTTTGTTTAAGTAGCTGCAGGGAATGCTCTTGTTTGGCAAATTTAGATTTATACTAATGTGCTAGCAGGAGACAAGTGTGTGTTGGCAGGGGGATAGGTCTCATCTAGCTCAGGTTGTTTCTTTGTCAGCAGGTAACTTACTTGTCAAACTTGTTCTCAGCCTCAAGTAACAAATGGTGCTGTAGCAGTGCATTGCAAGTGACTGCTGGTTTAGCAAGTCACTGCAGGGTGGGGGTTTTAAGTGCCTGATGTTTTAAGCAAGGTGATGTGTAATGCTGAATATTTCCTATCCGGGCTTATGGGTTACTTAATCTTATAGGGAAACCGCATAGCAGAAAGTGAAATGCATTTGAGATTGCCAGTAAAATGCTAACAATAAAATTATGAACGTCTCATTTGTTCATTGTTTTTCTCTGCAGGTACTTGTAGAAAATGCCAAAGCTAATGGAGATGTTAGAACTCTGGAGCTAAATGAGAAATTGTCATCAAGTGCCTAGTATGGACTATCTGAAGTGAAAAATGTTCCATCCATGTAACTTAATCAGTCTATCGTCCAGGAGCGTATGTGATTTGGGCTTTATTTGTTTGTGTCTGGCTTTGTTTTTTTAGTTGCATCATCTACAACTTTGTCTTTAGTTTAACTTTTTCTTGAACAAAAGTAGGTTATTTTCTTGTTGACATGGCTTCCACCATAACAATGTACTTTATTTGGAAGGAAACCCCTGAATTTTGCTTTTGTTTTCTTCTTCACTGAAACTTCATTGCTATTCACAACGGAGAGTGCTTGTCTGTATTTCCCCCTGGGCCACATAGAGAACTACAATATTAACTGCGCAGTCAGTGATGCAAGGTTTTCCTGGCACAGAGTCTTACTAGCTAGGTAGCAGCAAACTCTTCTCTCCCAGGTATTGTAAAATATTCAGAGATTTAAAATGCCTGTGTTCCTCTGATACACTTTGTTTTGCAATTGAGACCCAGGTCCACTTGAAACTTTGTATGTGGTGTCAGTTCATACTTTTCTAAATTTTTTTTTTTTTTTAGCTAATCTTCCATTACATCAGTGTATGCTCTTAACTGCAGGCTTCAGTAAACATTCCCATCAAAAAAAACTTGTGATCATCACGGGCAGGGTCATATTTATAAATGTGTATAACAGGCTCTATTTATGTCTCGGTAATTCTACTGCTGACTGCTTAATTGGATGAAACATGACAGTGGTTCCAAAGACGTGATGTTATTTTGCCTTTATGTATGTGAAAATAAAAAAAAAAAAAAAAAAAAAAAAGCAACAATTGTATTCTGTTAGTGTCGCCATTAGGGTTTTCACGCCGATGACAAGAGTCACGACGGCTGTTTCCTGGGTTGGTTTCTTACAATTGCTGGCTGTCCGCCCCGATGGCTCGTACGGCCCCGTGTTTCAGAGGAGAAGGGGCCCTTCCGCGGCGTGCTGCGCCGGGGGTGTGGGTGTGCGTCCCTGCGACCGGCCACGTGCAGGGATCTCCGGAAAGCAGGCGAGAGACACAAGCGTGCCACTCGCATTTGGAAGAGGAAAACTGAGCTCGGTAGGCCGGGGTTTCTGCTCTGCGGAGGTGAGTAGAAACCTCTCTGAATGGCAAGAATCCCTCCTTGTCTCCCACACTTTCATTCTCCCACCCATCTCAGTGCAAAAGACCTTCCTTAAAAAGACTTCTTCTTGGTAAATTTAGATTGACTGTGGTTCCCTTCACAGCCTGCTGTCACATAGTCTTGAACTATCAGTAACTGCAAATATTAAAAGGGAACGTTGCAAAAGCCAGACTCGTGACTCTCAAGGCTCTCTGTAACTTTTTTTAGCTTGCTGCTATTAAAAGCCTGGAAGAGTTCTTACAGCCCCGTTGTTCGTATCCTTGGCGTATGGTCTTGATATTTGTGCCTCCTACTCTGGTGGTGGGAGAGCCATCATCACCAGCCTGACGACAGCACCCTAAGCAGCTGCCTGCCCTTTTAATGCACCAGGCAGGAATGCCTCTGAGCGTTAGCCTGGGCTTTGTTCAGCACTAAACCTTAAATACTCTCTAACACCTAGGAGAACAGGCAAGTAACAGCAGGCCAGAGTAATAGACTCAACTGTGAATATTCCCGATGAGGAAGGAAAAAAAATAGCAGAGTGTTTTTTCTCTTCAGAAGACCATGAAGTTACTTTCACTGTGATCAGAGATGAACTCCTCGAACAAGATAATTATACAGCCCAAAGCTGTATTACATGCCCTGCAGGAAAAAAAGCGAACACATATCGCTACCACCTACTCAGTGAAAAGTGCTCAGAGAACATGAGTTTAAATTTAAACTTCTATAAGATCCAACAATATGAGGTAAAAGTCTTACTTTCCTCGTTTTTTTTTTAACAATGTACAGCCTCTACAAAATCAGCACTTTGTAGAAAGTCTGCTGTAACACTGAAAACACATCTAAATTCGTTCAGGTTGAGACAGCCCTATTTTTTATACTATTGTAGAGCTCAGCTTTAGAATGCAAAGTACTGTGCAAAGGCACATATGCATCGCTGATTTGGGGCACAGAGAGTTGTTTGTGGATTTTGCTGCCTGGGAAGTCGTATGTTCAGCTGCTGTAACTCTGAAGGGGAAAAAACAACATTCCCCAACTGTAATTTGTTTTATTTTGTTGGCTTATGCTGAAAGCAGAATGGAATGAGATCTAATTAATTTCAAAGTAGAACCTTTTGCTGCTTTAGATATGAAGGATTTTACGTTTCTTACATTTCCTGTTACGTGGCTGTGAGACAAAGGCTCCTGAGAATTTTATTTCTTTCTTTGGGTTATGTGTGTTCATCTCATTCTCTGTATTTCCCAAGAACTGCTGGATAGGATTTCTACTCAACATTTGAATTTCTCTCAAAATGGTTTCACAAAATACAGTGGGCAATTGTATTAATTTATATAGTCTTCCTAAGCTTGGGAGTTTAAGAAAAACAAGAGAACTGTAATTCTCTCTCCCCGCTGCTTTTGTTTGATACCTTTTATATGAATTCTTAGATATAAAACCCTCGAGAATTGCTTTAATGCTCTGGAAGTGCACCTTTGCAAGGAAAAATATATCCATAATCCTATAGCCCAGTTGAATATCATCCTGGATGTCCAGAATTTAGCTTTCATTCTCTCCCAGTTAATTTGTTTTTCACTAATTTATCTGAACAACCGACAGTTAAATAAAAGTTTTAGTAAGGTTAGTGTTCTCAAGGGAGAGAGGTGATTTTGAGTTTGGTCGCAGTTTGGAGTGATGACTACTGAGATAACTCCTTCATGCGGTGAAGTCATCCAAACAATAGCAACGTTCCAAATATATATTCATGTGTGATCTGAATTCACAGTTAGGCCCTCAGACCCTTCTGCCATAGTCACACGAGTCAGTGCTTGGACAAAGCGACATTGGGTTGTGCTGTCCTGCCATGTAGAAGGAAGGATGGATAGATGGGTGGGTGGATGGATAAATTAGGAAATGTGCAGCAATACTTCTGTCCTTTGTTACAGGTTCAGACTCTCAGGGTTGTTTTGGCTGGTTCTCTTTCTTTTTTTTTTTTTTTTTTTTTTTTTTTTGATACCGTGCGCTTTTAGAAACAAGTTCATCAATAACCTTGTATTTCATTTTTCTGTTGTTCCTCGGTATACCGAGAACCGCGGCATCCAGGGTGCTCGGTGGGGAGGCAGATGCACCCCAAGCCGTGCTATAGCTGCTGCTTCACCATCAGCCAGGTACATGGACCAAAAAATAGCAGGAGTTCCCCAAAGCAGCTCGAGAGGGAGAGCGTGGGAGGCTGCCCCCAACCCCAAACGTCTCGCTGTGAGTAACGGACATTACATCTACAGTGAAAGCAGAGCCCCCCCCGTAACGGGCAGAATGTCGAGTGAGACCGAAATACGGATTCAGAGTAGCTCAGAAACTGCTGGAAGTCGTTGGGGTTTTGGAGTCGCTGTTTTCCTGCTGCTCGTGGGAAACGCGACAGATGCGGAGCCCTGGAGGCGGGCGTGGGGCTGGGGGGGGGGTCGTTCCCGTGCAGAAAGGCCGTCTGCGGCTTGGGCGGCTGTTCTTTGGCTTTTGCAGGAGGGGAGCGATTTCTGGGACTTCCTACTCACTGGAGGAGGTTTTATACGTTCACACACAAAGTTTCTGCCTGCGGGAGCGACGTGATTAATTGCCGAGGTGGCGTTCCCGGCTGACCGCGCCCCTTCGGTTTCGGCTGTCACGCCGTGCAGGTCTGGCTTCTCCGAGAAGCCACGTGAAATCCGTGGCTTTGAGAAACCTGCTTTTCTGTAAAGCAAAAAGCACAACAGGCTGGAGATTGGGATTATTGCGGGAGGATTGTCTGATCCCTTTTGAATTTTCTTCTCTGGACACTGCGTGGTATTGGGCTTTCTGGAAACAAATGTACTATGGAAATTCAGGTTTCTGTTGCAATTGCATTGTGACCGTTTTTGGCCTCCCTGCCAAAGAACTCCTATTAGCTTCTGTGGAGAAATTATTCTGCTGTGTTTCTTTTGCCCTACTCCCAGAGATTTTCTCCTTATTTCTAGATTGTTGTTCCTGGTTTTTGAAGCAACACAAAACTCACAATGTCAGTTACGTTTTTGAGCATTCCGCTGCAAACTACCACTAACTTTTATTCAGTCAAACAGAGAAGATGAGAAATAAACCTTCTTAATAACGCATCTGTTAATAATTAACTTGCATTTTGTCACCTGTACCCAATTTATTAGCAACTTTTAGCTAATCCAGTAATTTATTATAATAGATGCAAATCATGCATCAGTAGATATTCTGATACCAGTTTTCATAATGCTATTACTACATAAACCTTGTGTGTGGCTGGAGGTATTTACTAGACCTGATTTCAGTAGTTACACTAATCTAAAACCGATTTAGCTTATGTCAGGACTGGGATAGCCATCACTGATGACTGAGTGCTTGTCTTCTGGAAGTCCTTTAAATGCTATGAATGCTTTTTTGTGAAGTGCGTTTGTAAAATTTTAAGTCAATACTTAAAGTTTAACTTTTCTTCTACGGTGAAGTACTCCGTGGTAAAACTGGTGTGAAAATTACTGTTGGTGTTACAGAGTTGTTATTTTTGTGGTTGCACAATACCATAGCTAGCAATAACATCCTACAGGGACAGGGAAAAACAACATCAGATGAGTGTAAAACCTACTTCTTCCTTTAACTCAGTGCTGCCTCTCACTGGAGAGAGCGCCTGCAAGAGTGGACACGGCTTGCTCTTGTTCAGCCAAGGGAGGTCACTTTCATTGGACTTTCTTCATGTCTTTCTGAATTTTCTTTTTTTCAAGTTTCAGCTTTGTGTTCTGTATTTGCTTGAGCAGCTCCAGAGACTCATGGATGGATTGAAATCCTGGTGGAAGAATAGGAACAATTAATTAAAGAGTGGCTGCTTTCAATACATTAAAAGATTCTTCTTTTTTCTTTGCAAAAGTTTCTGAGCCACGTTTAACACAGGGCACATTAAATCCAATCTATTTCATCATTTTATTGAATACTGCAGACATGCATTATCTGCTTGGGTTGCAAGCCCCTTGTTGTAGGAGTCATATCTCCCAATACCTTGGACAATTCCAAGTATGATTATGCATAGCCATAAACTGCATTTGACATCAGTTTTGTGGTACGGACTAAAGAAAATACTATGTCTGCCTTTAAAACCAAGGGTATTGTTAGCTTTAAAGCTTATTGTTCTTTCATTGAGCTTTGGAGGTTTTGTTGTGGTTTGTTTTTCTTACGCCTGCAGTCCTTACTTTGGGCTGAAGTCTGTGTGTTCCCATCAGCCACTGACACTGTTGCTCTCCAGTCTGCCCACCAGATACCAGGGTTTGTGCCACGATCTCCCAGAGTTGTAGCAACTGTAATTAAGAATTGTGCTTCATCTGAGATGGACACAGTTTCGTCGTGTGCTTCTGGGAGAATGGGAGCTCAGCTTCACTGGTGAAGTGTTTGTGCGTCTGTGTATGGGTGTATAACAAGAAAGGTGGGAGTGTACAGACACGCTCTTTCCAAGAGAGCTACAGAGCACCTGATGCACCTTTTTGGGACCACTGTACTGTCAAATATTGTCAACGAAGTCTGGAATAGTAGAATTGTAAACTACTGATACCTTGCTGTTTCCAGATTGCAGTAATTTACAAATTACAACATAGTGGTTCTTTACATTTGTCCACTGTGTCGCATAGGTGCTAATGTATTAGCAAGCAAGCAGCCTAACAGTGGATTAAAATTAATTCTCTTGCTCTTTGTTTTTTTCTTAAAGCGCTTGTCCTAACAAGACAGCTGATGACCTGTTTTTTCTTTTTGGAACAGTTGTTTAATATGGATTAATTTTGTCGCTGCTACAGTCTAGATAGTGTCCAACCAAATCACTGCATAGTGCTTAGAATTTTATAAATTCCAGACATGTCTCTGATTTCCAAGATGCCAATCTGTGCTGAAGCACAAACAGCTGCTCAGGCAGTCTAGAGGCTGCCTCTGTGCCCTTCATGCTGCTCTGCACCTCTTCACTGGCCCTTTTTCCCACCTTTTTGGGGGTCAGCCCCTGCCAGAGGGCAGGGGAAAGAGCAATCCTTGGACTTGAGTGTGAGCACATGCGTGGCTGGAGTTTGGTATAAACAGATCTCTTCTGTCATTAATCTCTGCAGGCGGGAATTTGAAGTTAAGAACTCTCCCCTTTCAGCACCAGACTCTTTTATTCTGAAATTTCTTAGCCACAGCTTTCTTTGAGATGCTGTCTTGTGCTCACTCAGACGGTCTTGTAGACAGCCAAGCCTTCCCGTGTCAAGCTGCACACAGACCCTGGCTAATTTAGAGCTTGGTTTGCTGCAGCCTTGGAGCAGGGCTCGTAGGTGGGCTGCAGATGATGAAGGAATTGGAGCTGAAGTAAAGAGCTGGGGTCCTCGATCACAGACAGCTTGGAAGATGACAACCAGACGCTTGAGTTTCAAGTGAGAACGTGTAAGATGTGAAGCCCTTGTGTAATGATTTTCAGCCATCTGTTCCCTTGGAGAGAGGGCTGAGTGATTTTTTTTTATTTTTTATTTTTTTGGGATAAACTGATGTGTCCACAGTATTTCCATGATCAGCTGCAAGTGGAGGGAATTACAATAGTTTGGGTTTGAGTGACACAGGATGGGTTACACAGTGGGCAGAACCTTCCTTGGAAGGCCATGTGCGCAGTGCCAGGTGAAAGCCTTTCTCATTGCTGCCGAATGTTGAACAGCCAGAATCATCTCAGATTGGTAAAGTGGTTCGTGCTCTGAGAGATCCACCAACGTGACTGTCCCCATGAGAAGCAGCTGCTGTCTTACCTAACCGCTCCCCTCTCCACTTCCACAGTGCGGGGTCAGAGCCCAGTAGCTGTAACTCATCCAGGTGCCTCTTTTTCCAGCTACTGCTGGCTGAGAATGGGGAGTAAAGGGTGGAAACGGTACAAAACCATCAAACACAGTCTCAGCAGCAGGATCTGTGCAAAAGGGAATGACTTGTGCCTTCCTTGCTTACAGAAGAAACAGGTGCTCTAAAAAGTCTGAGAGCTGGTTGTGAAATTGCCTTTTAAATTATCTTACCTTGAGACTCTTAGGAAGAGAAAGCAACCTGAATGCAAATGTCACGCTGGCTGTTTGCAAAGACAAGCAGCTAGCCCACACACCTCTGTATATGGGCTCTGGGAGAGAGAAACCATCATTTTTAATGTCTTTCTGTCTTGACTGAAAAGTTTTTTCTGGAACAGCAAGTTACTGTAGAAATTTATTTTAAAAACTAATTGCATGAAAGCGCATCCTCACCTGATCTGTATTCATTTTGGATTTCCTCAAGCTCCTTCAACATTTGTCTTTCAAATCTGGTGATTCTTGCATGCAGGCTTTTTTCATCACTTTTCATCTGGTTCAACTGCTTTTCGTATTTCTGCGGCTTATCCATTTGCTCTAGCTTTAGTGACAGAAGTAGGAGCTTTTCTTCCACTCTTTTTTCTGTTCTTTCCTTCAAAAATATAACACAGGTTTATAGTAAGACGCTTCATGTATGCCCACATTAACCTCCCTCCTGCCGACCAGCCTTTCAGTTGGTCTTGCTTCCCAATCCCATGCGTGGCAGCACTGAATAAACGCAGGTGAGGTCTGATACCCTGGAGGATGTGTCAGTCCTCTCTTCCCCGTTGAACCAAATAAACTGGGAAATTGGGGCTGGGCCAGGACCAAGGCACTTTTTAAATTGCTGTTTTATTGATCGATTCACTTCAACCCCGTGGTTGGTTGTCACACTTTGCGCTGTGAGGCTGGGAACCCAAGCAGCCCCTTTCAGGTGGCCTTCGTGCACCCATCCCGAGCCCAGACTTCCCGACTCACGGGGTGCAGCCCCGCGGTGTAAACCCGGCTCAGCTGCTGGCATGCACAAGGAGGCTGAGCCCCTGGCAGAGCTGCCTAGCAGGGGGGTGGCGAGCTCTCCTCTCCCTCTTTTGAGCTCAGCACAGCTCTTGGAGGCAGTTCCCCTTCCTCGGAGGCATGCTCAAACCTGCTCCGCCCAGCCTCCCACCCCTTCCTTGGCCTTCAAGCCGCACCGAGTTCCCTGGTCAACAATAAATCTGGTCAGTGTGGTCACAACCCCCCCCCCCCGATTGTCTTTACTCCTGTGGCCCCAGGGCACCGGCTCTGCCTCCCGAGGAAGGTGTTTGCCAACCTGGCAGAGCCGCCTGGACCTGAGCGGGGTTTGGCAGGGGAGGGGGTGAAGCTGGCCCCGCGTTTACGAACATCGCCGCGCGGTGCAGGCGGCTGATGTCGGCTGCGGGAAATAACCGGGCTGCTGCTCGGCGTTCCCAAAACTGCTCCATCACCAGCACGGAGCCCGCCGGGTCCATCATCACCCCCCCCGGCCCCACAGCCCCGGCCCCACACATCCTCTCAGCCCGACAAAGGATGTCGGTGGGGCTCTGCTGAAGGCAGGGCCCGCGGCTGAGCAGGGCCAAGCGCCCTCCCGGCGCAGGTGGAAGCTCATCTCCAACTGCTTTTCTCCATGCTGAGGTTTCCTTCAGCTCCCGGGCTCTGAGCTGGGCTTCCACTGAGATAACAACGCCCAGAGAACCACCACGCGTGCCTCTGTACAGGCATGCCTACACAGAAAAATAAATGCATTCCTTATTCGACCTATTTAAGAGTGGCTTTGAAAGCTTACACTCCTTTAACTCTGTTGGTTGGTTGGTTTTTTTTTTTTTTTTTTTGACACAGCGGTCTCCCTGAAGCCAGATTAACCACATATATTGGTGTGTTTTCTGTGAAACAGCCACAAAAACTACTAGTGGAGGAAGGGAATTCAAACAGCAGCTTTGAGACAAGTCAGAAATATTCTTAATATCTTCCTGGCCGCGCCAAGTATTGGTTACACTGAGTACAAGAAACGGAGATTAAAGTTCAGGAGTGTTTGAGTTCCAAGCAACTCCTGAATCTGGTCTTTGATCAGCAGCCTTCGTCCTGGTGCTGAGACACGACGATGGTGTTTCGATTGCTTTTGAACTCTGAAGCGGAATGAACCGCACACAGCAAAGGAGGAGAAGCTTTAAAAGCTGTGGAGGAATTAATTAAAAGGCATTGGTCCCGTGCCAAGTGGTAACCGCTGCTGTGGAGCCGAAACACACCACCTTTCCATGTGCCAGCCAAAGGGTGGGGAGGGGTTGTCCCTGTTTAAAACCAGGCAGAATTTCAGAATTTGCGCAGACCATCCCTTAGTCTTCCGAGCTTGCCGATGAGTGAAACGGGGTGGTGCTCCGTGGTGGCACCGGTGCTCACCTTGGGACAGGAAAATGCCATTGCTGGGTACGCTGGGGTTACACAGATGTGAAGTGATGCAAGACTTGATGCCCCGGGACACCCAGAGCGCTGCAGGATCTCCATCCTCACAAATAAAAATCACCCGGACGAGACCCCGAGCCCTGACGTTGCTGCTGGCCCTGTCTGAGCCAGGGGTTGAACCTTATGACTTCCAGGTGTCCCTTCCAAAATAAAATAGCCTGCACGCTTTCCATAACTCTCCATTTTTTTCTGGCCGTGCCCCGAGGCACCTGGTTTTGTGTTTCAGATCTCGTTTTTTGTGTGTGTGTGATTTGGCGCCTGGTGGGGTCAAGGTGGCAGGAGTGGTGCTTCTCGCTCCGGGTCCTGGGGGGGCTGGAAGCCACCCCAGTGCCCGGCGCTGCCGTCCTGGGGGCTCTTACCAGTCTCTCCTGCACGGAGTTAAGCAGCTGGTGCCTGCGCTGGGCTTGATCTTCTTCAGACCGTGCCAGCTGCGCTTCCGTCCACTTCCGATGGGCCTGCATCTGATCCCTGAAGTCACTTAGGATACTCGCCAACCTAAAATTATGATCATTTTTTCAGTAACAAGACTAAGGCTTAGTCAATATTATGGTGGAGTCTTGAGCCACTTGAGTAAATCGTTCAAATTACTCCAAATCCCCTCAATAGCTTCCTAACAAGCCCTAAACTCAATTATCTTATTAATCCTTACCTTGAAGGTTGCACCTACGTGCCAGAATGTTATTTCTGTAGTGTGGTCTACTTTAGGAAAATATCTGAGGGCTGAAAAATATTAATTTCCCGTTTGCATTAACTCTGTTCAAAGTGGATGAAGAAACTACACTATCCCACTGAACATTGACTTCATTGCTGGGCATTGGGGAGAGCAGCAAAAATCACTCGTGGTCTGAAAATGAAGTTCATAAGGACAAAAAAAGTTTATAACTAAACCAAAAAGAGAATAAAGTGTTGCCTTTGAGGCAGCAGTTGGATAGAAGCATGAAAGCCCCCCCAAAGCAAATGGGGCAGGCGGCTCCTGGAGGAGACAGGGAACTGCAGGCAAGAGTGGGATCAAATCTGCAAAATGTGAAGTTAAAGGGAACTATATGATTTAGATTTTGCTTTTCTTATGCTGCAACATGTAGTTTACAGCATGAACCATGGCAAGACGTGAGCTTAGGTCCAAGTTGTAGTCATGTATTTAAATTTCCATGCTTATCCATATGACCTGACTTACAGGAGTGTCGGGAAAAATTTTAATGTAATTGTATTAATTTCTAACACACTCTTGTGTGCAAACAATCACTGGAAATTTGTTCAGGCCTCGGGATACAAACCAGCAGGTAAAGAGCAGGATTTTATAGCTATACTTAATATTTGATACCAATTTTTGAAAGGGTGTTTGAGTTAAAGTGGTTTTTATACCTGGTGATTGATAACAGCTCTGTATCAGTCTAATGAGGTGATAATTACCATCAGCAGTCACTGTAAATGTGGTAAAAAAAAAAAATTAATGATAGCAAAATCTCTCTCAGTGATACGTTACTGCAGTTTGCTATAGACAGTGTCTATTCAAGATCTTCTACATAAGCAGCGTGTTATGTCAGTTTATCACTATTACTCATTTCAGTAGTTCTAAGACTCGATTTTTCAAGAATAAAAACTTTCAGTATCGAGTTTGTTAATTTTAGTCCTACCACGCACGTGTGAACACGCACGCAGAGTTTGCTTCCTGGAGCACTAATCTTTGCTCACGAGGAAATAAAAGGATGCTGTGATAGTCCGCCAAAGGTCCAGAGCAGGATCCGACCCCAGCGCGGGACAGGGAGCAGCACTGAGCTTTTCTCAGACCCCACGGCGAGACACCCGCCGGGAAGAAGGGGGATCTCCACCCAAACCCTGTTCTGGAAGGCCAGGCAGGGATGGGGGCAGCGCTCTGCCCAAGCCACCGCTGCCCACCCCGTGGCTGATGGTCATGAGTGGGGGATGTCCGTGCCCACGGAGGAGCGGACGGGCCGGTGCTCACGAGGGCTCCAGCTCACAGCCGGCAGTTACAGGGCTGGCACCTCTTCAGACAGACCTTCCGTGTGGTCATTTTCAAATGTATAGAGGGAGAATCGGGAGATTTTAATCCGTCAGGCACAAAACAAAGCTGTCACGTCATTCTTCGTGTTAAGATCACTGAGCAAATTGAGGGAATATCATTTAACGGGTGAAGATGAATTAACCATGAGTGACAGCTTTGTTCAAAGGCTCAAAACGAAACTTTGTGTAGTTGGCAGCCAGCGTCTGACTTTGCCTCAGTTTCTCCGAAGCTGGAAAAGGGGGAAGAAAGAAATATTTCAACATAAAAATTAATTATTTGAGCCTGTGTTTAGGCAACTTAGAAAAGATTTGGCAAACTCCGCCTTGGGGAGAAAAGGGGGAACTACAAAAATTCCTGACTTAATAAAAAAGTTATTTAACAAGTGGTTGCGTTGAGCACTAGAGGTTACGTGAGGTTGCACGGCCTGTGTGGTTCAGGCCAAAAAGATCACAACAGTCTCTTTGGGATGCAAATCCTGCAAAACGCAGCTGGTGTGAGGCTCTGCTGAGGAGGAGGAAGGTGGCTGGGGCCTGCCTCGAGGGACAGGCTTGACAGTGACAAGATGATGATTAATAATACAATTATCATTAGTAATATTGATATTTTGTATTATTACATCATTTATTCTTAATAATAAAACGATCATGTTTTCTTTTCTTTCCTTGTTTAGCACCCCTCCTGCATGGAGCTTACAGAAATATATCTACCAGGAGTGACGCTCCAGAGGCAGATGATTTTGCCATTTTTCAGCAAAGCCCTGAAATATTAATAAGGGGATACGTGTGGATATTTAATAAGGACACACTCCAGCAGTGCTACAATAAGTTTTCCCATGTGAAAATAGACCTATTGGCAACCGAATTGTCTTTGTGCAGCTGAATGCAGCTATTCCAACCTAGCCTACCCTGAGAGAGAAGCACCCACTCCTCTGTGAAGGACCAGATTTCTGAGCAAGACACAACTCCCATGAAATCCAGGAATACGTTTAAAATTCATCTGGTTTGCAATAACAATATAAACTTTCACTTTTACAATACAGCTGCCAGCCCGCAGTCAAAGACGACTGCATCCCAGACAGCTACATGTCAACTGAAGAAGTAACTCTGAGCTTTAAAGCTGATTTAAACATGGCCAGTTATATGCAGAAGCTCCAGTCTGTTCCAGAAGTTAAATCTTATTTCAGCTCTATAAAAAGAATACATAAATCTGGTAGACTTTTAAAGGAGCAATAAAAAAGGAGACAGACATTCCCCAAAGGGCATGCTACTTTAATTAAATTTTATATTAACTGGAATAAAAGCTCAACGTTTAGTAAATAAGTATTTTTGATTTTATGTTAAACGCACAATGCCAGCACATCTCAGTGTCTTGAAGGCCATATCTTTTCGAGCTTCTTATTTCTGATAATTTCAGTAAGGTCTCATTAACTTTTGCGAAACTCAGCATTTGCTTCAATTCAGTTTGACAATTTCTTTCTTTTCTGGCATTGTTCTGTTTTTTCCTTCCCTCTTATTTTGGGGTCATTTCTTGTCCCTTTCACATCACCTTGATCTCCATCATTCACTGATCTCTGTCTCCCTCTTCCTTCTTCCCTTTTCCCTATTTTAATTCATTGCCCACTTTAGCTGTTATTTCCCCATTAACCCCAATTCCTTTTCCTCTTCTCTTGATGAGAACTTTCTTCTGTTTAAAGTTCTTGACTTTTTACTTCTGAATACATTTCAGATAAAATCTTAATTAAAATAATTATTTATTCAAATACTTCACCATTTTAAGGAGTGGAACTATTGCCTTTGAAATATCATTATTGCAGGATTATTAGATTTTCAATTATTTGTGCTGGCTCTGCTATTCAATGCTGGGCTGTTTTGCACTGTTCTGAATATGGATGCCGGATACTTTTGTTCATCACATCCTTCCCTGGAGCTCCCTTCTCTCTAAAACCCATCAAGATTAAAATGGCACCCTAAAAATATTTATGCAGATAGAATAGGAAAAACGTACTGGGTAAGAAAGAAGGAAATAAATTACAAATCTGTGGGCACGTGAGGCTGTGCAGCTACACTAGCCTTGTGCCCACCTTTATTCATCAGCAGCACCCCTGCCCCGGGCATCTCTCTCAGAAATGGGCAGAGGGTGCAAAAGAAAATGTCATGTTCTGCGCATTAGGCAAGTCACAAATTATCCCCAATTATAATGGTAAATAGCGTCTTTGTATTTGGTGCCTTTCTTTTAAGTATGGAAAGTTAATTGGTTTCATACCTTTCTTCTTACAGGGTGGCATTTAGTGCCTCATTTTAACAATTAGCTTGCAAGACAATATACTTTCATTATGTATTTTCATTATTTTATGGCACAGATCTTCATTAACCTTCTCTTTGTGTTTTGAATGGATGCTAATTAACAGGTTTGTTTTGCTGTTTCATGGCAACCTGTTCATCACACTAAAACACCCAGTGTGAATTATCATAATGAAAAACCCCCCAACACCTACTTGAAATCCAGAAGTTGCAATTCATGATGTTGATCTCCCCGGACTGTCTTTAAATTTGAGCTTTGATCAGAGTTGGATGTCTCTATCTTGCCTAATAGCTGCATTACCTAATGAGAATTCAACAGAGAATGCCTTTATGAGCCAGACTGTGAGCACTTACATTTAAATACGCACTCTGATTGCAAGCATGGAAAAAAAAAAAAAAAAAAAGCAAAAAAAAACAGCTAACACTGAGGTGCAGCTACATAAAAATGAACTTTTCTGATAAATAATTTAATTCAGTTAAGGCTGAAAACTTGAAACCCTTGAAAGCGCGCGTGTGTTGCAAAGCCTTGGCTAAGGGCATCCCAAGAAGAGCGGAGGGAGGAGAGGCTCACCCGCAGTGACAGATGCTTCGGTGGCTGCAGCACTAGGATGGCACCTGGGGGAACCCCCCTTTCAAAGCATCTCCCCCCACCCCACCATGTCCGGGCTGGGGTCTGCATCCCCATCCTGCGCAGCCCCGTGGGGGGTTCCCCACGTACCCAAGGCTCTCCCACGTTTCTTGGTTGGTTGGGGATGCCCCCTTTCATGGGGTCGTCCGTTGCTGGGGTGAGAGGAAGAGAGACAGCTTCACCAACACGGCCCACGGGCTGAGGGCCCTCAGCTGGGAGGCAGGGGACAAGGTGGACTCGAGAGGCGAAGCCGAGCAGCCCACGTCTTGCAGGGACGGCCACGGCCACGCGGTGGGGTGGCCTGAGGGCACTGGGCCCTACGGGCCGGGAAAAGCTGGAAACACCCCACCCAAGAGTTGCAGTTCCCGCCCATGGAAGGTCTGGCGAGTCGAGGGCACCGAGCTGCCCGCCCACCACCTGCACACATCTGACTTTGCGCAGTCAGTGCCAAGCCGTGGTGCTGAGGGGCCCCCCACGCATCAGTGATGCAGCACAGTTTTTGGAAACACTGGGCGCTCCAGCGACTCCAGCCGCTATTTCAGGAGAAGTTGGGTGTCCGTGTGCCTCTGAAAGAGGGAGGGCGAGTGACTCGGGAGACTGGAGGCCACCAGAAACCCATTTCTCACACGACCTCGCCCTCCAGCAGTTTTTCCTGTGCAGTCTGGGCTACGTTACCGGCTGCTGCAAGTCGACACTTCACCTTGAAGGGCAGTCTGATGTGAGGGATGAGGGATTCAGCCTGCCTACCCCTGGTTAATTAATAAATGAAAGGGGATGCGAAATCTCAGTGGTTTTCTTCACAGATTTTACACCAAATGAACAGAAAAATTCCTGGCAAGAAGATGCCACCGCCCGCTTGGTAGCTGTGGCACGTCAATGTCAAAAAGACTCATTGAGTTGAGTTGGTACCTTCTTCCTTGAATGCAGTGAACGACTCCTTTTCATAAATCCTTTATTTTCTTCTCTCCTACAATCAAGTGAGGACAATTTTTTTGCTTTTCAGCCAAACAATTTACTTCTGCATCCCGCTCCATGTCTACCCTGCCTCATTTTCACATTACTTTGCGTGCTGTTTCATGCAACTCTGACACACACACACACACCTGCTCTCTTCCCTGTTTCCAGGTGAAGAAGAATGTTTTTCATAGGTATCCAAGGAGACAGATGTCCAGAGTGTCTTTTAACAGAAGTCCAGGTAAGGTATCTTTGTTTAAGTTCTGTCATGAGAAATTTTTCCCTGGAGAAGAGCACCTTCTTGGTCCTTGGGTAGGCACGTTACATGATGACTGGGACTGTGTCTTGTGCAGCAGAAGATGCAGTAAAAATATACTAAAGAGATTATATTCAATACCAGAGTGTGTGAGAAATTGAGTGTCCCACATCTGCTCCATCCTGGCAGGTACGGGAGATGTTTAGTTCAGAGCAGGAGCAGTGAGCCATCATGCTGCAGGTTTAGAAAGCTGAATTTTCCAGTACAGCTGGGTTCTCGTACAATATTACTGCTAATGCTCCTGATCCTGCTAGAGGCTCCAAAACTGCTACTGAGCGTAGTGATCCTCATGCAAGGAAAAGCAAGTTATAGGGAACAGTAGGCAATAACAGTTGTTACCTGCTATTGGCTTTCTCGATGGAGGAAAAAAACCACTCTCACATAAAACACCATTTGACAAAACTTTTCCAGCATTACTGTCTCAAAAGGCTTTGAAATACTACCAAAATTAATATGGAATTAGATGTATGCTATTAGATGACTCCCTGCCACCACCTTAAAACCAAAGAAAAAACAAAGGATTTAAATGGCCTTTTTTACCTCCAAAATGCCTGCAACTGAAATTTCCAGATGCACTTGAATATTAATCATACTGAGAAGCAGTAATGGGTTATTTATGATCTGAGGATCCCTCAAATCCTGGAATATTTTTATTAGCTGTTATTGCCTTACGTCTATTATACAATGCCACTACCAGGTGGAGATTGGTGACAAGTGGCACCCCTCAGGGGTCCGTACTGGGACCAAGTACTGTCTACTGGATTTGTCAACAACACAGACGCTGGGATCGAGGCACCCTCAGCCAGTTCACCCCCGACCCCAAGCTGTGTGGTGGGGGGCAGGGGTGGCATCCAGAGGGATGACATCCAGTGGCCTCCCAGGGCTTAAAGGGGGGACAGGAGAGGGGGGGAGGGACTCTGGGTCAGGGGGTGTGGGGATAGAACGAGGGGTAATGGCTTTAAACTAAAAGAGAGTAGGTTTAGGTTATACATAAGGCAGAAATTGTTCCTTGTGCAGGGGTGAGGCGCTGGCCCCGGGTGCCCAGAGCAGCTGTGGCTGCCCCCTCCCTGGAAGGGTTCAAGGCCAGGTTGGACGGGGCTGGGAGCCCCCTGGAAGGGGGCCCTGCCCGGGGTGGGGGGGGGCACTGGGGGGGCTTCGAGGTCCCTTTGAACTGAAAATATTATTTGATTCTCTGCCTCCACAGTATCACGGAAAACATATTTTTCTAATTAAAAATCCTGATATCAGTCTTCAGTACTGTTCAGCAGCTGGGAAAAGAAGCCACGCCTATACACGCACGGTCACCACTCACCAAGTGCCTCGCTGCCGGCTTCTCTACTCACCTTCTTCTCGACATCACCGACACAATGTTTGAGGACAGAGCGAAGGCCATAAATCTCTTTATCGGTCTCCCGGGCCTCGCGGCTGATGACCCCGACGTCTCCCGCCAGCTTCGCCATGCTCGCCTCGCATCTGCAGCCAGACCAGGGGGAGCAGAGCCTCTGCGGGGGGGGTGCCGGGGGGGCGGCACAAGGCAGATGCTGGTCTCCACGTGCTGCCACCAGACCGAATCCAGCCCCGTCCCGGACCACCCCAGCGAGTGGCAAAACAGGCAGAGACACTCCGGTGGAACATCCCTGATCCCCAGTCTGCTGCCAGGTATTACTGGCGGTTAAAATGCTGCTGGAAGGGGCAGCGAGGAAGCGGGGGGGGGGGGGACACACACAGTGTGCACACCATTGCGGCCGTGATGCCCGTGGGCTCCTCGTACCACAAACCAGCTCCCACGGGGTCCAGGGGAGCTGCAGGAGCCGCCCAAACTCACCCCGCCGAAACGAGTCCCCCCCTGACTTCCCACCGTCCAATCTCAATAAATTAAATTAAACCCGAAGAGTAAATGAAGAAGCTAATCTGGACTCCAAGCACCGCCAGGTTCTGGATGCCACAGGCACCCCAGCCTGTAGCCTCCACCAGCTGGACCCGTAAATTGGGGAAGGTCACTTTTAGATTAAAAAAAAAAAAAAAAACAAACCTGCTCTTTTGTAAGGGGCATTTGACATTTGCTGTTTGAAGTCTTTTGGTCGCATCCACAGAAATACCTCGTTGCATTTAAAATGGACAAACGAATTATTTGAGTGGTGGCATTAATTGAGTAGCCCAGGGATTGAATAACAGTCAACCAGCTATCCTTTACAGGTAGAATGAATGACTTTCAACCCGTGTCTTTCGTGTGTGTATGTGCGTGTGTGTGTGTATATGTATATATATATATATAAAAATTTGTGTATATATATGTGTGTGTATATACATCTATATGTGTGTGTATATATATACATACACACACATTGTGTATGTATAGTATATATGTATATAAGTAAATAGATATATAAAAATATATTAAATTTTTTAACATGAGCAAGAAGGTTTTCTTCAGTGTGTATTTAAATATACATATAACATTATACATACACTTAAGAGGAACAAGGAGACACAGATTTCCCTCTCTGCATCCCTCCTTCACGCTGTGCCCCCAGGAGTAACAGCCAGCCCCACTGCAGGTAGGACAAGAGTGTGGGAGAAAATACCTTCAGGCCACAAAGTAGAGCACAATTTAATATAAATAACAGAATAGAAGTTGAGCGAGGAAAACAGCTAAGTTTTAAAATGCCAGAGAAATTACCCTCCAAAGCACCACCACAGAACAAATCCAGTGCTGTTGACAGATAAAAGTTCTAAAGGGAAGTTTTGACACCTTAAATAGACCAGCCTTTTGTCATCTCCTGATGATGCTTAGATATTGTGATACACCTTACAGAGCGTGTAGCTCAAGGAAACAAAACAAAACAAAACAAAAGTTACTGCAGATATTAGAGGCTTTGTACAAAGGTCAGACCTTTGATCAAAAGAAACATTGATTTGGAAAACATGTACAAAATATCTGCAAGCGTGAGCATGGATCTGTAGAGGGAGGGCAAGAATTGCAAGGCTTTGCCAGAAGAGCAGAGTGTGAGAAGGAGGAGGATTAACGGCTCTGTAGCTGTAGCAAGACATTGCTTCAGTTACAAGAGAAAGAAACCTGAATATTCTACACGGAGAATACTCAAAAATAGAGGATTTGATGACAGGACCCAAACCCCAGGCTTGCAGCGTGGGATTAGTGCAAGCACAGGTGCATGACTGGGTACCCCGGGGGGCCTGCAGATGTGGGGGTCTCTGCAAAGACCCCCCCAGCACTGCTCAGAGCTGACTTTCCCCCGCGTACCCTCACCGCTGCGCGCACAGCCGTCAGGAGGGGAGCGGGGGGCTTGGGGACGGCTGAAGTCTTGCTCTAATTCGATACGCCAGGCTGGAGATGTTCTGCAGTTTTGGGGGGTGGGGGGGTTGGGGGTGGGGGGTCCCGGCTTCCAGCGCGGGGGCACTGGGAGCGGGGCGGAGGCTGTGCTCCCCGGAGATTTGCGTACGAATTATGGGGCGTGAAGAACTAAAAGGCTCTGATGGCTGTATCAAAGCATTTACGGAGAGGAACACAGCTACCTGCTATATGCCCGAGGGGCTCTATCCTCCAAAGTCACGGGGGGAGCAGTATATTATGGGCTGCTGTACTTGACTAAGTATTGAATTTTGCGAAGGGTCGTGTAACCTCACGCATACACACCAGGGCTTTTGGCTGTCTAGTTGGTCCTTTTCCTGCTGGACTTTTTCTCTGAGAAACAAAAACGCTCACAAGAAAAGTAAACACCATATAACCATCTGTGTAAAGTGCATTGTTTATGCATTTGTGCATTCATTTAGTCTTTTGTTGGTGAGGCTGAAGAGAATGATTTAATATTTATCAGAAGTGTGCCTTTTTTTTACAGTTGATTACCTAAGTCTTATTACTGTAATACATATTTCCATGCCCACAGGAATTCTCATTAAGAGTTAGAATACAAATAAAATATAGTTAATTCAATGGGAAAGCCACTATTGCTGAGATGCTGAAGGCTGTTTTTCTTAAAGATCACGGCTACCTGACGCATAAATGTTTACACGGTGTAGAAATGTAGTCAGAAGGTCCAAGAATTAATGGATAATTACATCAGTAATTGGCAAGAAGTCTCTGTCTACTTTGCAGGGAAAGGTAGAGTAAAAGAACAGACACAATTTGAATTACAAGAGCTAATCCACATTAATCCTTTACACATGGCAGGATACAGGAGGATGAATCATCTGCTGTGAGAAAGATCAGTGGCTCCATTTAAGGCTCATTCCATCCCAGATAGCCTTGGATGAAGGTTAGGCCACAAATCAAGAGGAAAACTCTCATTGCATGTTTGCATTTGGAAGATTTCTATTCATTCAGTAAATGTAAATTATACAAACACATGCGTTTGTTTCCAGCCACTCCGGTCTCTCTCTAATATACATAGGCATTTAAAGTCCTGAAAGTCAAGATCAAAGAAATGCAAAAAATCAGAATATTAATTGTCAAGGTAATGGCAATGCCTGTCAGTTCTGGCTCGCTCCTCAACCACGGAGCTGGGGACAGGTATGCAGCCAAGGCTTGGCATTTCCAGAAGTTGAACTTCAGCAGCAAGAAAAGAAAGTGCTGGTGGTTCATGCACCACACAAATCTATACTATGCTTTAGCTTAAAGTCAATCATTCACCGAAAACTACATTATAATATTGATGTTGGAATGCTGCTAAAACACCAGCTCTGGCTCTGCAATAACAGTATGTTTAGATGAAGCTAGAAAAACTGCCATTTTCCTTTTCCTCTCCTTAAAAATAACTGGGGTCTAAGGACTTAGTTTCCAGCATCATATGACGATGACCTTGGTCCCCTGATGATAGTTTCTTTATGTGTGGTTGCACACATGTGTTTTGGGATCCTCCCTTCTGCCCGTGGGAAAGGCCAACCAGTGCACCTGAAAAATGGGCGAGGAAGGAAGAGGAAAGGGAAGGGGAAGGGGAAGGGGGAGGGGAAGGGGAAGGGGAAGGGGAGGGGAGGGGAAGGGGGAGGGAAATGGGAAGGGGAAGGGGAAGGGGAAAGGGAAAGGGGAAGGGGAAGGGGGAGGGAAATGGGAAGGGGAAGGGGAAGGGGAAGGGGAAGTGGAAGGGGAAGGGGAAGGAGAAGGGGAAGGGGGAGGGAAATGGGAAGGGGAAGGGGAAGGGGAAGGGGAAGTGGAAGGGGAAGGGGAAGGGGAAAAGAGGGACCCAATAAAATGTCTTGTTGTGGGCGTCTGTGAGTGCTTGACCTCTTGCTTCTTCCAGTTGTTTTCTTCTTCTTTACGCAAGGAGAGGTGGAGTGGTCAGTTCTTTCCCCACAATTTTCCCACTTTCCCCCCAAGTGCGTTTGCTTTCCTCTGCTGCAGGCGAATGCTCAAGCCCAGAGGGTGGGAGCAAGCCGGGCGCAGCTGGCGGAGGGAAACATCACGCCAGGGAAAACGCCGGGACAAGCAGAGCGAGACACGTCACCCGTGGAATGTTGTGGCTTCACGAAGAGCATATCGTCTGGAGAGTCTGCCAACCCGCATTGGAAAACATCAGGAGGCTCTTGCAGGATCACCTCCTACTTTGTTCCCATGCTAATCAGCCACAAGGTTAAAAAAACCCCATCTTTTTCCTGCCAACTTTGAAAGCGTTGGCTTCAGCTTCTCGTTTTGGATTCTTGGGTCTCTCTGCAGTTGTCTGGAGCCCTTCAGTACCCTGTGATTTTTTTTCCTTTCTCTCCCAGTAGTTATACATGGAAATTAAGACATCTCTGGTTTTATTTTTTTCTGTAAACTATACATAGATGTATACTCCTCGCAGCCAGAAATTTTCCTATTCCCACTATCACATTCCTGGCTCTTTTTTATACCGTATCAAGTTTTTCATTTCAAAAAGGGGGATCTGGGCTCGGTACAGTATTCTGCTATCAATCTCTGTGCCATACACAGAACTAAAATAACCTCCCTATTTACTGATCCTCTGCTTCTCTTGTCCAAGACCATACTCCTGGCACTTCTGATGTTGTGTCATTGTAAGAGATCATGGTAAGATATTTACCTGACATATTCCCCAAACTTTTCAGGGGCACTCAGTAGTGGAACGGTCTCTCATTGGGTTTATAAAATACATTATTTTCTCAATCAGCCCACATTACCAGTAATCCTGGATATTATTCATTACCCCCTTTTCCTCACTTGACCAAATTTTGTTATTCCTAAATGTCAATAACAGTGTTTTATATGAAAAGCATATGACTGACCTCTGGAGGAAAAAAAAATTATAAAAACCAACCAACCAACAACAACAAAAAAAAAAAAAAACACCAAAAAAAAACCCAAAACACATTAGAAATATGCCAGTTCAGAGACATTTTTTCCTTAATGACTTTTTTTTTCTGATGTATCAGTTCATACTGCTCTTAATCCATGTGCTCTCTTGATATTACATGGCAGAGTTCAACTTTGTCTTTCTTTTAATCATAATGTGCTACAAAGTGCCCCATGGAAGTCCACCTATGTTATGTACGTGCAATTACTTGTAGTGACGAAAACTTATCATCTCACCCAAGGAAGAAATCAAGTTTGCTCAACAAGACCTAGTTTCCAAGAGAGGAAGTGAAGATTTTATTGAAACAACAGGAGAGTTTCAGTAGGAGGAAATAACCACTTCAGCTGAAGTCTAGCCAGACTGGAGAAGAAAAAATTTTCTAAAATGGTAAGTGTGTGATGAAGAATGAGACAAGAAAATGCAGTTATTTTCCCCTGGCTTGATAGTTTTTCTAACACAGAGAGTGAGAATCACAGATCTGGCACTAAAATGGAGATATAAAGTGAGTGCAAAGGACATTTATGCCCACTCTGAATCTGCTCTGCACAAGTGGACTATCAGAGATGAAAATGGGACCAGGACGCATTCCTTACCTTGCCACTCTTCCACGCAGGTCTCCAAAACCCTGCATGTATTTATTGTCCAGGCTTTGAACAGCAAAATTAGTTTCCACTGCGGCACCATCCCTCGTTCTTATTTGCCTCTCCAAAACCTGTAAATTAAAGACCATTAATGCAATTTTGGTTTTTTACTTTGTTGGGTTTTTTTTTCATTTCACAATAGGGCTCAAAGCACTACTTATGACAGCATATCTGAAATCTTGTTTTCCTTTCTTGGAGAAAGTAGCAGTGTATTTTTCTTTCAAAAATCTATATCTGCATAAATAATATGCCCATTTTTCCCCTTAACAATGCACTTTATGATGGAAAGTCTAGCACGCAAAAATTAGGAAATGTAAAAATTGGGAAATTAATTTCACTCTCTCCCTCCAGTACTGTTCACAGCCGCAGTACAGTGCAGCCCGTAATAAATAACACAATTTTTCCAAGTCAGGATCCTTTCAACAGGGTCTGCCAGGTGTTTCGAGGAGGGAGGCAACAGCGAATCTGAGTGCTTTGCAGCAGCCCGGGGGCTCTGCAGCGAGGCGCGGCGCGGAGGTGGGCGCAGGACCTCTGCCCCCAGCCCAGCCTGCCCGTGCTGCAAATGCACGAATCCTTACGTCCAAGCTAACTCACCGCACTTGGCATGCACAAAAAGATGCTCTTAACACAGACAGCCCTGCACGGGGCAGGTTTTGGCTGCAGCAAAAGCATGGACCTGCTGTTAAACTGCATTACAGACATACCCACCCAGCCCTGAGCTAGGATGTGGGTCAGTGTAATCAGCTTCTCCATGTCTTGTTCCACCCCTGTTGCCCAGTATGTGGCCTGGTATCTGATCTACTGCACCGTACTAAAAGTCTGATAAAGGTAGAAGGAGTAACCACCCTGCAGAGTCTTCTGAAGTGGCTCATCCTGGTGGTGTCTGACTGTGTCACAAGCATCAATTTTAGGAAGCCCTTGTGCAGCTACTGTGACCTTTCAAGGATGCAGAAGCAGAGCGGGGGGGGCATAATTACTAAAATCTCCAGATTTTACTTCTCCCATTGAAAGGAGAGTCCTGGGGTTGATATTTTAGCATCATTCAGCACCACACAGCTCTTCACCTGGTCAAAGCACAGCTTTTATTCTTTTTTTATGCAAATGTCTTACTTGTGCAAAAATAGAGTGGCTTTTATTGGCTTTTAATCTGAAATGTTCCCCACTGAGTGAGTTGAAAAAAAATAAAAAAAATAAGTACAGGAAAGGAAAAACATGAGGGAAAATGTAAACTGTAAATGTTTAAAGTTTATCGAAGCTGTTGCAGGTGGGTTTGCCTGTCCCGTGGGTCACACAGGCTCGTCCCACCGCCGGGGCTGCGGGAGGGCGCAGGGTGGTCCGGGGTCCCAGGAGCGTGGCTCGTGTGTCTGGAGGCAGTGCCAGGGCCCCTTCCCCTGCGGCCGTGCCCCTGAAAACCGGGTCAGGGCAAACATTTCAGGGTCGGCTGCACTCAAGGAACATGCACGTACCCCCAGCACCGCGCGGCACTGCTGTCCCCGCTTTCTCCAGCAAGAGGAGACGCTTCAGCGTCCTTCCAAAGTGGGGCACGGGCGAGTGGAGAAAGCTGTAATAACTCTGGAGTAAAATGGTAATTCAAATTCAGATCTCAGCCCCTCCCCGGGGCAGGTGACCGATGACCACCCGCTCCGTGCAGCCCCCCGGCTCGGACACGGGCACCTCTTGTCAGAGGTGGAGCCAGGCGCGGCTTCCCCTCCGCCCCTCCGTTTTTAGTATTGATGTTTTTCTCTGGCAATTTTTAATCTTCTCCCGGGAGGTTTTTGTCAAGGGTCTGGTTGTTTTCCCACCCGGCACTGATCGCTTTGCTGTCCCTCATGCAGCATCAGCCAGGGTGTTTTCCCGGCGCTGGCAGAGGGGTGCTGACTCAGGCTCACCTTCATTCCTGGTGGCAATGGCAAGCCAGCATCTTGCCCAAATCAGACTTCTTTGAAGGACATTCTTCCTGCTTTGAGGAAGATTTGGAGTACGAGTGAGTCACATTTCCTGGCAGATTCTTTTTTTTTTTTTTTTTTTTTTCAAGTGCTTGAGAAATCGACATTGTTCAACCACCCTCATTTGTTGCACGCCAGGAGCAATTCTCCAAAATTTTGTAGTGGCTTTGATTGACACGTCTCACTGTGCTGTTCTCTATGCTGCCAGTGCTCTGCCCTTATCAAATCCTCACAACCAAAATACACAAATCAAACACACATCTGAGATTAGGACCTAGAGAAGAGTAATTTACAACCAAGGGAAAAGATTAGATTTAGATGTTGATAGCATCTTAGGCATTTTTCTGTCAAAACAGTCCTGTACTTATTTGATCTGGATAGGGTTAGAGGAATTGGATGATCTAAAATAAATAAGTGGTTTTACAGCACTGCTTATCACCATAGTATCACAATCTCAAAAATAAAGTCAGTATGAAATGAACACAGAGCTCAGTTTTAATTCAGACTAATTTCAGGTGAGCCATGATTGCATGCTTCTTAAAATAAATCTACAGAAGATCAAATATTTCCTCAAGTACATGAAAAACCAAATGTATTGTGAATTTAGTGGCATTTGAAAGACATTTAACACTTCAAAGGACAAAACAAATATCTGGAGAAGTCTATTTCAAAATATTTTTGTATTTTCAATCTTTGCCCAAAGAAGGTGTTGGTAAATTTCACATACAAATTTGGCAAGAGCAAATAATCAAAGATCTTTAGCCAGAAAAGAGGTATCCCATGCATTTCCAGCATACAGCCATCGGTCGGTTTAAAGAAAAAGTGAAGCTGAACCTACATTCCGAGCTGCACTGAGCTTTGTGAAGAGTTTCCGCAATATTTGGTTATGTTTGCATACAGACATTTATATAAAGTAGTAGAAATCTGCATCAGGAAAACTCAGAAGTAAACCCAAACTTGAGTCTTGATGTTATACATGAGACGAGAAAATGAAAATACAGGTTTCTCCTATTTCCCTTGAACTCAGTCTCTGGCACTCCAACCAAACTGAAAGCAAATAGAATCTGGACTTTTGAATGAAAACACCACCAAAACTCATTAGTCTGCTTTTTACTACATTTTCCTTTCCCTTTTTTTTTTTTTTTTTTTTTCAACTTTGCTTTCTCTAGTCCCCTCCTTTTTGTTTTCAGAGGCAACTTCAAGTGCCACAACACAAAAAAAAAATCAAAATTTAACTAGAACACAGCGGTCACGTCAGGTACTTTCCTGCTCCTGAGGCCAATATCAGCGCTGAATGGAACGTGGGCTCAAGCTGCACCACTAAAGCAGGGAAATGCTCCTCGGCATGTATTACCTCAATGTCCTGGCTGAGCTTTTTAACGATGCTCGTAATGGTCTGGATGTGATATTCCAGCAGCTGCCGGGCAGCGTCCTCCCCGTGCCGGTAACCTCTGCTTCCCCGGAGGTAGGAGACGATGTCATCTTGGATTTGGAAAGCCTGATGGAGGAGGAAAGCCGTGGTCCTCTCCTGGCTGGATAACCGCTTTTCCAGAAGGCAAGTCCTGTCCCTGGGGCGAGGAGGAGGGGAAGGGTCTCTCCTGCGAACACCAAAAAACGCCGGTCACGGCACGCAAGCCGAAGGACGTGGGTGCTGGTGATCCCCTGCCCACCGTGGGGCCAGCCCCAGCCCGGGGCTGTGTCCACATCGTCCCTTGTACCAGGGGCTTTGGTGCTCCTGTGCACCCCTGCCAACCCCCCTGGCAATAACAACCTCTCCACGCGGGGCGAACATTTGGGCACCGGCCTCAGTAATGACCCTGGAGATGCAAACGACATTTTTGCAGCAATTAAGCAAAACCCATGCGGCTTAATGACCTGGGCTTATTTTCAGAAGCCTCGAGGCACTCCCATGATGTGCTGTCATTGCAATCCTCATTTTAAGTTCTTCCTGTTTCTTTTTAGACCAAGGCAACAGTGAGCACACGCAGCCACCTCCTTCCAAAACGCCCCAGTACGTACAGAGATGCGCGTGCAGAACACGCCCTGGCTGAGAGCGGGCAGAAGGAGAGCTCGTGCCAAGTACAGCAACGCCTGTGTTTGGTTTTCCTTTGCGTTATTTACACCTACACACTGGAAAGAAGTCTGAAATCCCAACGGTCTCCTTACAGCCACCCCATCCCCATCCGCCTGCTGAAGCCCAGGGGAATGAGCCAGGGGCTCAGATACACTCAGTGGAACTGCATATAAATATAGAAGAGAGGAAGGATGTTGCAAGGATCTGAAACTGGCAGGTACAGAATGAAGCTCAATTTAGACAGGCACAATCTGGAGTTTGAGGGAAACTGGAGTCACTTTTTTTGTAAAAATCCAGAGATTGATTTAATAACTGCAGAACTTTGGTTTTGCCTGTTATGCAGAAAATGAAGTTTGTTTTATGTCTTAGTTTAACCTGAATGGCATATTTTTTATGCTCTCAGTGCTAAAATACCCTTTCATCACGCAGTTTAGCTAAACCCTGCAGCTCAATGATGAAGAAAAATAACCGGTTAGTCATTTGGGAAAGAAGTCATACATGTTTTCTCTTGATCTCTGCTTTTAGACTGCTATAAATAAAAGTTCTGATGTAAAAATAATTTTTGAAAAAGAAAGGCGAAGAGACGAGAGTTCGAGCACCCTACCCAATCAATACACAAAATGCAAAGATGACAGTTTAGTGACTGAAGTGTGCCTAAGGATACTCTGCGGCAAGTTTTTCAGCCATATGGGCTGAAATGATGTTCTGCAGCTGGCTTACATCTGCACGTACCAGGAGCTGCGTCATATTTGTCTGAGGAATTAAGGTTTTAAAATAAACGTAGCCTTTGGCAGCCATGACGTACCAACAAGATCCGAATCCTTAATTTCAACCTCATCTTGGTAAAAACTCTAAATATCAAAATGACCAGCTGAGGCTGTGTGAGTTCTTTTGTACTCGAATTGAGCCTGAGCCCTGCTGAGGACTTGCAAAGGACTTAAATATATGATCTCTGAAGCTTTATTCCCCTTACTCTCTCTGCCTTTTCACTTGCCTTGCAACCAGGTTCCTTCTGAGGAGTCCCAGGGAATTCCCCTCAGACCCTTCACGGGTAACAACAAGATCTGAACACGGTCCAGTGCCTCCCATGACCAGAAGAGACAGGGGTTGCTCTCCTGTCCCTCTCTCCTGCTCTTTCCTCTGCCCCTATTCTCTGCTCCCAGCCACTCACTGCCATTTTTGCATCCAGATCAGCACAGGAAGGAGAGATGAGGAGGCAGAGAAAGCAAAAAAATACACAGAAAACCTGGAAAACAGCAGTGACTCATCAGGCTAACGAGAAGTTTTGCTGTCACGACTGCTGTCTCAAGCCCTGCGTGAAGGGATGGAGCCTGCAGGATGCCTGTCACAGCCAGCACCCGAATCCTGAGGATTTCTGAGCCTTTTCATGTCACCGGCCTGGAAGCCCTCGCCGGCCAGCCAGACCCCGAGCAAGCTGCCGTCGGCTCGGGCAGCATCTCTAAATGAGAATGTCTGGGAGCACAGGAGAGGGCTACTTCTCGTCAGCTCCCATAAATATCTTCCTCCTCGTTACGAGGCTGGGGCTACCCTCACTCTGTCACCTTGTGTCACTTTGAAGGCTCATTTGCATACTCAGGGCAGTAAAACACCCTCGATCCTCTGTCGGCAGTGGGAGATTTTCCAAAGATTTAGATCCATCATTTACAGAAATTAACTTCTGCTGCAAACCTCGTTGGCCTTCTAATTTAATGAAAATTTTAGGTGTGGTTCTGTTTGGCTTTAGTAGAACTAACATGGGTTTAGGAAGTCTAAGCCGCTTTGATTTATTAATAACCTCCTTCAAAAGATCTGAGTGTGTGCAGTAAGCTAACCCTGCGTCCTGGGTTGAGTGAGTGGTGGAGTTTTTTGGTGGCAGGGGAGGGGGCTATCGGGGCGGCCCCCTGTGAGAAGCTTCTCGAAGCTCCCCCAGCTCCACGTCAGCTCCACTTCTGTTTGGGAAACTGAGCCCATCAGCTGCACCTCTGCGATAACGTATTTAAGAAGGGACGTGGTGACGGGCAGGGGGACTGGTGAGGAGGAGTTGCGGCAGCTGCGTGAACACCAAGGTCAGTGGAGGAACGGAGGAAGAAAGGAGGGGGGAGGTGTGCCAGAGCAGAGACCCCCCTGTATCCTGTGGGGAGACGGCAGGGCAGCCCCCCCTGCCACCCATGGAGATCTACGGTGGAGCAGACATTGATTTATGGCCTGTGGCTCCTGCTCAGCTGATCAAGGTTCTGTGCCCGAAGAAGGCCGGGGTCTCATGGGAAAAGGCAGCCCCGCTGCTGTAATTCAGCGCTGGGAGGATTGCAGCATGCGGGGGAGTCCCACGCCGGAGCAGCTCGGGAAGGGCTGCAGCCGTGGGAGGGAATCCAGTCGGAGGAAGTTAGTGACCCATGACGGAGCAGTGTGGGGAACGCTGCGGCCCGTGGGAGGAATTCAAGTCAGAGAAAGTTTGTGGAGGACTGTCTCCTGTGAGAGGGGGACCACGATGGAGCAGGGGGAAGAAGTTCCAGACACTCCCCTCACCGAAGATGAAGGAAGTGGCAGCGCTGACTGCACCCCCCATTCCCTGCCCCTGCGCCCCTGGGGGAGGAGGTAGAGATATCGGGAGCAGAGCTGAGCCCGGGAAGAAGGGAGGGGTGGGGGGAAGGTGTTCTCAAGATGGGGCAATGCTTCTCACTGTCCTACTCTGTTATGTGTTGTTAGTGTCTGTAATAAATGTATGTTCTTTTTTTTTCTTCCCCTAACGAGTCTGCCTTTTGGTCGTGATCATAAAGGGGGATTTTTCCCCCTCCCAGTCCTATCTTGAACCCCAAGCCTGGCTCTCTGTCCCTTCTTATTGCTGGAGGGGAAGGGAGAGAGAGGTGCTGCGTTGGGGTTGGCTGCCGATCAGGCCTAAACCACGGCACCCTGCAACCTACTGCTCTAAATACATCCATTATTGTTTTCAGTCATAATTGACCGCTGAGTGGAGAAGCCAAGAAGGTTTTCAGATTCCAAGGACTTCACACCCTAAAAGTACTTTCCACCAGTCGCTCCCACCATGTCAGGACGCTTTCTGGAGACAGAACCATCTCCTGCGGCTCAGGGCCAACGCGGATGAGATGCTCCAGTCCGCAGTTGAAGTGCTAAAGCATACACACTAATTGCCTTGAGTATCCAGGTATTACCAGCAGAGATACTGCTAGAAAATGAAGGAAGCTGACTGAATAAAAGCTCCCTGGTCCTGAGAAAGCTGCTCCCATGAGGCTGGGGTTTAGAGAGCCAGGAGGAACTGGCTGTATCAGGAGACATCTCAACCCTGAGCTCAGGTGCTCATGAGATGTTCAAGAGAAAGCATGTCAAGAAACTGGAAGAAGAAAACAAAGTGGGGAAGCAAGATTAGTTGGATCAAGTCTACAGTCTGGGTCTGAAGACTGAGGCTTGCAGAGGTGATGGGAGCTGGGTGGAGGTGGGAAGAGGGGACCTAAGAGGTAGCCGAAGGCAGTATGGGTCAAAACACCCTGATTTTATCAGGTAGGAGAAAGCTGTGTTTGTGCTTCTGTGTGCTGCTGGTCAGAAGACCAAATAAAATGAAACAAAATTAAATAAATGACCCTCACTTCACACTGGAGATCAGCAGTGACGCTTCTCTGCAGCTCTGTAAGGCTACTGATTCTCTGTAAACTTGCAGGAAGTTCAAAAATTTGAGCACAAACCTTCCATCAAATCTGCTTGAAATGCCCAAGGAATTGAAAAATTATTAAAAGCAGAGCTGCCTTAATTTCCTTGAAAAGCAGACTAACAGCAATGCAGGGACACTTGCAGGGAACTATTGCACACAGGGAGAAAAAAGATTCAAATGGGGAAAATACTTCTGGGTGCCGCATTTCCTGGATTTGCTTTCTTTATTTTTGTTACTACAGAGAGTGTTTTAGTCACACACACACAAAAAAAAAAAAAAAAAAAAAAAAAGGAGGGGCATTTGGCTCCTAGAAAAGAATTTCATTGTTCTGCCAGTTAGACTATAAGCATTTCCTAACAGACTCTTCTGGTGGCACAGCTGCAGTTTCAACTTTGGGAAACCAAGTTAAGTCAGTAGCCCACAGGGTTAAAGAGACTGCAAGAAAATATCAAGAAAAATCTGAATAGAAATGTTTACAAATGTGACATCAAGGGCAGGTAATCAATTTGCTGTTGCTTAAAGTTGTTCCCTTGATTCCATGGAACAAAAAAAAAGAGTAATCTGCCTCCATGGCACTTCACGGTCGTGAGTAATCAACATGCACCCTCAACTCACATAAACCCTGAATGTTTGCAGTAGATGCAAATCCATCCTCATTTCTCTGCTTATTCAGCAAAGAGCGGGCAAGGATACAGCTCGAAGTGAATCTGGACTTTTTCTGGCCAAGCTGCTGATAGGGGCGTAGGAGAAAATACATCTGACCTGAACACAGAATATATTTTTTGTGCATTGTTCCAGGATGCTGCTGCCACTCCTGACACAGAGACTTTCTCAGCAGCGTGTCCTGCCCTGACCAGTCA